AAGGCTGGTAACAGAGGGGGATACATTTTATGGCAACCAACCCAATAATTTGTTGATTTACTTTTTTCTGGATCAAAGATGAACAAACTGATACACTGACATTGCCATTCAGAGCAACATGTATGCTGCTAATGAACTGCTGATTCATTAGTTAATAAAAATGTAAAGAAGTTTTGTTCTTCTGTGTCTACAGATGTTCAGTGTTAGAAAGCAGAGAATCCCATTTTCGACTAACTGTTAAAAGGTCAACTCCACATCATTGCTGCAGGAAATCTAAGCCACAGGGACATTTGGACAGATTAGTTCAACCACACTTGAAAACTTCCTAATTACACCCTTAGAATTGACACACTTTTTGAACTTCACGCTGAACTAACCATACTCAAGACTTCAGCTGGCTGGCTAGTCCTCAGTTCTTATCTTACTGGACCTATGAGCAGCCTGTGATACAGTGAACCACCACATCCTGCTATCTTGGGCAAATGTCTTTCTTGGTTTGAATCCTACCTCACTGGGCGCCCCTTCAGTGTGTCATGGCAAGGGCAAATGTCCTCACCCCATTCCCTTCCCACTTGAGTGCCCCAAGGATTGGTATTTGGACCCCTCCTCTTTGCCATAAACACCACCTCCTTGGGTCCAATTATCTGCTTGCATGGCTTCTCATACCACTGCTATGCAGACGACAACCAACTATACCTCTCATTCCTGCCAGATGACCTCATTGTCTCTGTGTGGATCTGGGCCTGTCCCTCTGACATATCCATGTGGATGTAGGAACTCCACCTTCAATTAAATCTCTCTAAGACTGAACTCCGAGTCATACCAGCCAATCAGTCTCTTCATCACAATATCAATATCAAAACTGCTTCTTCATCCCTTACCCGAACCAAGGTTGCAAGAAACCTGGATGTCATGTTTGATGACCAGCAATCCCCTCTCTCTCACACTCTCTGACCATGTTGCATCTGTCTCTTGGTCAAAAGAACAGAAAAATCAGACCTTACTTGACTCAGTACACCACCCAGCTCTTGGTCCAGGCCATGGTTATCTCTCACTTCCATTACTGCAATGCTCTTCTGGTGGTCAACATGCCTAACTAGCACTTACAAATCACTTTCTGTGCACTTCTTTTTACTTTATCTCCTAGCACTTATTAATAAATGCAGTACTTAGTGCTTAGGCCCAGGTATCCTACTGCACTGAAGCTTTAGTGATGTTCAGCACTTGTAAGTTGCTTTGGATAAGCATCTGCCAAAATCAGTAAATGTAAATGTGATATAAAATGATACAGTGCAACATATAGTACATAAAAACAATATGGCAGACCAAAAAAGATGAACTTCAGGTAGATTTGAAATCTCAATTGAAGACAGGATTTAAAAGATGATTACTCCTTGTGATGTTTTGTTCTTCAGTTTCATTGACAATGGACCTGATCGAGGATGATTACCCTCAGTTATGGTACATTTGACCACAGAGTGAACAATCATTTTCTTTGTGAAGGACATGATTAAGGAGGCAGAGTTCCAGTAATAAAGAGCTTTCCTTCATTTAATGAAAATCTTCAGGGAGGCTGAAGACAAGACAGTGTGTTGAATGAGCTGTAAAGATCTAAAAGTAGAAGTAAGGGAGCTTCATCATGAACAGGATAAACTGAAGCTCTCGGGTTTATGAACTATGAATGTGATATTCTAATACTGAAAGTCAAATATTGCCTTTGCAAGAAAGGCAATAGTAATGCTACAAACATCCATTTCTAATCTTAGCATCCGTGCCATTTCTCTTTTTATAGCCATACTGCATGGCTCTATAAAGCTACAACCTCCGACCTCCAATCTGAACAACCTGCATGTTGACTTTGTAGCTCTACACACAACATAACCACTTCCTCGTTTGGTACAGACAAGTAATCTGACTGGCGACTGCTGTGCAACCATAGGGTTGACAGTTGTGGTTTTAAGTGAAATGTCTTGAGAGCTGTTGGATGGATTGCGGTGAAATGTGGTGTTTTTCTTTTTTAATACTTTAATTTATTGGGGTTTCAGTTTTATAGAGTGGCAGGGGCACCAATTAAAATATATATTTAAAAGATATGATTTAATATGGTGATCTATGCATCTGCAGGCTTTGTAGTGTTCTTATAGCATTGTTTACTTCGCTGCTTTGGTGGACTGGAAAGTCTTTTAGATCAATTTTGAAAAAAGATTCATGATTAATTTAACTTCACACAAATGAGTCAGTTATACTGTATAAGTTGCAGAATACATTTGAAGAAGATCTGTGTGCCCTTTCAGGCATCCGCCTGTCTGGCTACTGGGAATAATACACGGATCTCTCCACCTCCTAAACCACTAGTCCTGATCTACAAGTTCTTCACCATACAATGAACTTACAAGGGCCCTTTTGTGGTTTGTTATAGCAGCACTTTAAGCTAATCAAGTGATGATGCATGTGATCCTATGGGGAGGAGCTGATCAGGAACAGAAAGGTGGGAGCAGTCAGCAAGGACACAGAGGGAAAAGGTCATTTTCAGTTTCCTGAATGATGAATATTGATATGAAAGAAAATACAGGCATCACTCATTGCCTCTGAGACTCACATATGAGGGCATATTGACATATACAGTGCACATGCACATCCATATATGCCATCATCTTGCTGTCTCCAGTTTCTGATCGTCCTTCTGTCATCATAACTGAACATGTACATAGTAGCTCATTGCAGTGAGGGATACTGTTTTATCAGGCAGGCTTTAATAGAGATGAAAGACTGAGTTCATGAACTGATCAGTAGATCACCAGAAATTTAATCGAGTTTGACAATAGTTATAATTGTTTCAGTCTTTTAGCAAAAATGCCAAACATTTCTTGATTAATGTTCTTGAATGTGAGGAATTGAAACTTTTCTTTGTTGTGTAGAGTAAACTGAATATCCTTCTGATGATCTGATAAGAAATACAGGAGCTGTGGGAAATTAAAATGGACATTTGTGGCTATTTTTGTGACATTTTATAGGCCAAACAATTCACTGACTCCTCATGAAAATAATAGATAGTGAAAATAATCATTAGCTGCAACCTTAGACGCTGAAATAAACATTTAAAAAAATTCAAATTTTGAGAGAAAAAACATCACAACAACCATAATGCCTCGGTAGAAGAAGATTATGCTCTTCTCACTGCAGTAATTGTGTTCACAGTTTAGTCTATCACTTAAAAGCAGCAATTAAAATGACAAATGGGCTGTTGCTAGAATGCTACCGATGCTAATAAGCAGCTCCTAGTCAAAATTGGGCTCCAGTTAAATGCATTTCCATAATCACATTCAAAAACACCACTCCACATGTGCAATTAAGTCTATAATCTAGCTACTTATGATAGAATGTGTGGTGACATGTTAGGGCTTAAGAGCTTCAAATACTTTTCATGTCTCCTCCATATGCTCACTGAACACCGACTGCACAATGGAGATCAAAACTGTACAATTCAGCTTAAATATACGTTAAACTGTGTTTGAGGCAAGCACTAATCTTATGGCGTATGCCCTTTTGTTTGGCCTGGCAAGGTGAGAGTCAGATGTTTGGAATCACAGCACAGACATTCCTCACATACTTGCATGCCTTAAAGTCTTATACTTCAACAGAGTATGTAATAGTAGGACTAAAGCCAACAACTGTATTGATGTAAGATTAATAGGAGACAGCCTGGCATTAAAAGGTTAAAAATAATTATGTAATCTTCAGCGATGTGTGACATGACACACATCTTCACACTCTGAGAAAGACCATTGTAGACCACCGTAGGTTACTTACTAACAAGCAACCTGTGACCATGCTGGGAACAAGGAATACCCCATCCTTACAGTGCAAGTCACAACGTCACAAAAAAACAAAAACAAACATAATAATATGGCTCACACATCACCAATTTAAAATAGTATGTGAACCCTGACCGAGTGTTATGAGAGAAAAAGCTAAAAAGAAAAACAGCAAATCTTAATACGGTTCAACCCTCCATTTTAGTAGACATGCTTGCTTTGATTTTAACATAATAGACTTTTGACAGAACACGGATAGTTAGGGGTGAACGGTTGCTTGTATGAGGAGATGTCATCAGGGGTGTATTTTCTCACCACTCCACTCTTTATACTGATGCCAGAAGACATATTTTAAGATTTGCTTATTGTCAGCCTCCTCCATGCTGATGATGAAAATGACCATCTCAAAGTTCCATGTGGATAAAACCCTCATGACCAGCACTGACCTGTACAAGAGACAGGTAGTGCAGAAGAAAAACCAATGACCCCCCTGAACAAATAACAAACTTAAAATATTTATGAATCCAGACTTGAATTTACTTGTAGCTCCTGTGGCGATGGCTAATTTAGTGTTTCAATAATAGCAGTGCAGTGCTGTCCAGCTTAAGCATGGATGTTTTGGAGGTGTTTATGAATGAAGTTCATTAATTATCACTGGGCTGCTGCCCCATGGGGCCTGAGCATTTAATCATTTAAAACCAATCATTTAAACTCTAAATTTGGCAGCACCACTGGGCTGCAACGAAGTGATGGAACAACTACTGCACACTGTTATTGATGAGTAAACAAATTAAAAAATCGCCAACAATCTAGTTTTCCCCCCCAAGAAGTTTTCTTTTTAATAATAAAAAAACCCAAACTGCAAAATCCACTGGCTCCACCGTGTTTCGACTTTGTCGTGGCTGCCAGAGACTATTGCGTCATTTTGGCTTATGTCATCATAAGTGTAAACATACACATTGAGACATGAATCTTCTGCCAGAGTAACTCTGATCTCTGAAGCTTGAACTTTACTTGTGAATGTAAATAAATGCCTGTAATTATTGACAACTGAGCTGAGTTGATTTAAAAGCCTTTTGTTAATGTCACCTGCTTGTTTTACTTATTGATCTAATAGATTTTATCTGTTCTATTTGCTCTCACCCTTTAATCTTACTTTATCTTATTCATTGTTGGGTATTTTATTCATTTTCATTCTCTTTACTTTTAGTTGCCTGATTGTATTTAATGTTAACTTTGCTGAATTCTGTTATGTTGATTTTCCCATGCGAAGCACCTTGCAACTGTTAAGTTGGATGCTTTAGAAATAAAGTTTGTTATGATAATGATTATTTTTCAAATCAGTGTGTGAACTTATCTTGTTAATGCTAATTTCTGTTGACAATTGATTTAAATATATTTATGATGCATTTAATTTAATTCTGCCTCTATCTTGAGACATACAGCAGAATTATTTTTGTGTGTTTGTAGTTAGCGTGGAGGAGGAAATAGAAGAGAGAGCCTTGTTCTGTCTCCTTCTCTCTTTGATCACCTGAACTTAACGCAGCTAAATTAATGCTTAAGTTGCTCTCATTTACATATTTTCTTCCAGGTTGTGTTCTGTCAGAACAAACGAATGACTATGAAATGTGATTGCTCATGAACAGCACATAAAAACTACCTGTTAATTAGGCACTCAAAGCCAACCTGCTGTGCTACGGATAAAATCATTATTCTATTGTCACAGAATTAACAGAAAAAATGAAGAAAAAACAGAGGTCATAAGGATAGCAGTTATCGTAGAGAAAGATAAAGGAAATAAAAAGTTTGAATGTTAAAATACAGCCTCAAACATGTTTCTGCACCAAGACGTTTTTAATAGCACATAGAATACAACATACACAATTATATTGGCTAAAGTATGAAAGTATGATGGAAAACCAGTAGTATTTTTATCATTTCTTCACCGTACCTCCCAGGAGTAAACTCCAATTGAAATAATTATTAAAATAATACAACCTAGACACAGATAAGCTCCATAAATTGGGTGAATGAATTAGGCAATTAAAAATTATGACTTTTTTTTAAAGGTCACTTTAGTTTTTGCAAAACTTGATACTTTCATGTTCAGAGCTCCCCAGCTGCCATAGATAACAGTTGTATGTGCAATCAGTGGACTTTAGGTATGAGAATCTCAAACTAAGACTTCCTGGTCTATTTATTTATTATTATTTTGGTAATTCTGACTTAATTTTATTTTTATTTATTCCGATTTTTTACTATTTTGATACTGAGCTATTTACACGTATGACTAACTGACTAACCCAAGCTGTAACCATGTACCATGAGAGCCCACAGGATGGCCTTTCACCTTGTCCAATCCACGCACACCTACACTAGAGGTGTGTGGGATATGTAAACTCTGCTTATACTGGAAAACATGCGTTGCAGTAGCCTGAGAGGATTAATGCAAATGGGTGAGATGGAGAGATTTCTCAAGCTTTCAAACTACATAAATACTCAGCTCGAATGTCTTGGTCATGAAAAGAAAATACATTGTTCCTTTTCCTTTTCCCTTTTCATTTGATTCTTGAACAGTTGTATTAGACATGATTTAGATGGCAGGGCTTAAATCACTCAAAGTTCAGTTTGATCCATCCTTAACTAAACGATGGTGCAGCCGTGGATTTTAAAACTGTTGAATTGTTCTCCTCTACAGTTTTGCCTTGGCAGCGTTACACTCTACGACCCCTGCTGCTAGCATCTGGTTTATCTCTGACGATGTAAAGCCGTACTCCTTGAGGACCTTGACCGTGTGTTCTCCAATAACTGGGTCAGAGGTGAGGCACGGCTCAGCAGGAGTCCGAGAGAGAACCGGGGCAGGCCGGGGGCTTTCCTCCCCGTTGGAGTCCTTCATGAAAGAAGCTCTTTCCTGGTTATGTGGGTGGGAGCTCACCTGGTCGAAAGACAACACAGGTGTAACGCAGGCATCAGTCCCATCAAAAATCCTCGACCAATCTGCCTGGGTCTTTGAAGCAAAACGCTCTGTGAACATCCGTCTCAGCTCTGGCCAATCACTGAAGCTCATCTGAGGAGGCAACTCCCCAGCATCCAACTGTAAGCCTATGGGGAAGAAAAGACTTACATGTAACCTCGTGGAAAAACATGAGCAAAGCAAAATTATGCAAAACAGGGAAATGTTTAACATGTTAGAGCAGTGTTCGATCACAATAGCCTGTTGATCTTTGTGGAGCTCCAAGTCGGTCACAAGGTATTTCACTTGAAAGGTAATTTGTTCATTTATATCTGCTGTGTTAAATTATTTAAATTGCAAAGAAAGCTGCTCTCGTTTTACATAATTTATTCTTTTATTTTTTAAACACGTTTCTGCATAGTGAGTTCACTTTTTCAAAAGTATTCATACAGTCAGCACAATAGTCATTGGGGACTCTGTGTATAACTTTTCATTGCTTTGACACAAAATGCATTCAGTGATCACATCTTTTAAATTTCACAAATAGCTTTCTCATTCCAACTCCATCTAAAACTGAACAAAACACTCAGTTACTTGAGCTCAGACTGCAATTTTCTACATTCTGATTCATCTACATCGAAAAAATCATATCAGGTGAGGGAAGTGGGCAAGAGAGAAAGAGGACAGAAAATGTGATGTGAGAGAAGACAGCGTTGACAAGCACTGTCCTATACATGTATTGTATGTACTGTACTAACACATTTTGTATTGTATTACTGTATTATCTTTTGAAGCAAGCTCATCGTGCATTAGTTTAATTGGGGTTCTGTTGTTGTTGTAATGTCAATGGCACACGTGCGACACGAGTGACCACCATCTTAGAGGTTTATTTCATCTAGAAAAAATGCCTCCAATTTGCATACGAACCCTTAAGTAGCTGTCTGTAGAACTGTGGTTCTATGGCACCCACAGCCATGTACTTTCCATCTGAAGTCTGGTAGGTATCGTAGAAGGGCGCTCCGCTGTCCAACATGTTCTCTCCTCTAGAGCGGTCCCACATACCAATACTACGAGATTTCCATACAAATGAACCCACATATGCAGCTCCTTCCACCTGAAATGGAGAACACAAGATAAGAGGCTTTTTATATTGCATGATATTATATTATGTTCTATTTCTATGTATAATAACTCAAATCTACAACATAGCACAGCAAGGAGTGTGAAGCATAACTGTTCTTTTCAGCTATTCGCTTATTCCTTTATGCAGAGTGCATTAAATTCATTAAAATTGCAAACAATCCTTTGTGTACACTGCTATATACTGTATGTCAGTCCAAGGATATAGCTTTTTCATAGCATAGCAGAAGCTGATATGCTTGAGTAGACAACAGCAGCAGATACACAGGGAGAGTGAAATAGCATTCTACTGGAATGACATTAAAATGTGGCAATTATTGGGTATTTCAGGAAAGCTAATGAAAATACTGCACATATGGTGTCCTGCTGCCTTTATAAACCACCATCTGCCTATACTCATAATGTATTTGCGTCTCCACATGTGCACAAGCTATTACAGCTGCTGCTGCTGAAAAGTAAATACCTTAACAAAACAGTAACTGAAAGTTGGGGATGATTCTCTGAATGTGTTACATGTACTTTTGAGTTACCAAAAAATATGAGACCACGAACAGAGAGTGGGTATTAAAGAGTGGTTATATCTTTTCTTCAGTGACTAGCAAGAATGCCTCATAAGAAAAAAGGCATTTTTCAAGTAGCTTGCTGTCCCTCTTTATTAATGTGGCTCACATTAAGTAATGTGATCATTCAGCAGCAGGCAAGGAGAGAAGGCTGTTGGTCTCTGTGTGTAAATTAGAGGACTGAACATGCAACACTGGCTGCTGCTACCTTACATCACTTTAATTTTACTGTGTCCAATTTCAAATTGTTGTGAGCAAAATCAGTTATAAAATAGGACAATGCACAGGGTTACACATGGACACACTTGTCAGAGTGTGTCCATGTGAACCTGCAACATTTACACATATTTACCTTATGTGTAAAACATATAAATATTGATTATAGCTACTTTAAATACCCCGGTACATTGCCTCTCAATTGTTAAAAGTGTGAAATATAAATATGTCTGTCAGCCTTGTGTTAAACTGGCAACTTGCATCTTAATGTAATCTAATGGTACAACTGTTATTCATTGTGAATGTGTTGAATTTTTTATTTACTTATTTTTTTAAGGTGTATATATTCCGTTTAGTTTAGAAATCAGTCTGTCTTTTCAGCAGTGTTAAATTCACTCAGGCTTGTTGTCTTGACTTGTTTAGTGCGTAATCTACTTTGCCCTCCGCCAATACAGTGCATGACGGGATTGCCTCAAGCCCACTCAATCCTCAAAAGGATAAACACTTATCGAAAATGGATGAATGAATGGAGAGTACTAACATGACTGATAACATGCTTTAAACTGAGTGGGCTGAACTGGTATTATTAGACCTTTAAAACACATTTAAGGGAAAATTGAATGTCACGTCGAAAACTTTTGCTCAGCCCTGAGACAGATCGTGTTCTAACTGTGATTGCATCTGGCCCTTGCGTTAGCACTCTCATCATAATTACATGGTTTTCCACTGACAAACAGCACCTTGTGTTTCTGTAACATCTCAGTGAAGATTTGCTTTCAGTTAAATGCAGATTTGAGTTTCAAGGTGCCATTTTTTGTAAATTACTACAACTTATTTGAATGTTCAAGGTAATTTTTATTCAAGGGTTTATTCAAGGGTTTTTTTTTTTTTACACTTGCCAGTGTAGTTGGGTGATCTGACTAAAATTAATATCACAATATTAAGAATATGTTCCCAATATAAAAATGGACATTGCTAAGCATATTGGAGATGACTCTATACTTGTACAACAAAAACAATTAATTTTGTTAGTATATGTTCAATTTACTTAGAATCCTTAATCTAGAGTACGGAATTTTGTAAAGCATTAAGACTATTAGAGTTTAAACTATGAAAAGAAAATTAATTGGCAACTATTCTGATAGTAGATTTATCATTTGAGTCGATTTTCAAGCAAAACATCTGTTTGAACTTTGTTTCTACAAATATCCCTGAATATATTAGGGTTTTGGATTGTATGTGTGTATGTCAGTGCATGCCAGTCCCTCTTGTTAAGTTGGTCTTCCCCACGTTTATAAAGACAGGGACCGCCGGCACGCGATGTGGCACAGCGCAGTTGACAATGCTCAGGTGAAAGTACCTGCAAAGATTTCCCTCATGGAGGCAGCCATGTTTTCCCCTAAAAGGCCTCTGACAAAGCAAGAGACAAGACCGGAGCACAGGCGGACTGACCGGTGGGATTACTGGCTCAAATTCATAAATTATTTCAAGTTTTTACCGGCCCTACCAGTGTCTTTACCGGTGAATAAGTCCAAGGCTATATTTCTATCAATGTCCGACCATGGAGCCAATAGTTGTCTGGCTTAACCGAGATGGAGAGCCCTTCGAGCTGGTAAAGGGCTCCACCTTGACTCTGAAGAACTGGCTTTTCTTCTCCATTCGTAAGTAACTTGATGGCAACATTATGTAACATGTTTGTTTTCATTAGTGACCGGCTACAGAAGGCATGCTAATGTTAGCTAACTCGCTGTTACAGATATTATTTAAGTGTTCGGCTAATGTTGCTATCGCTAGCTGGCTTGCTAGCATTGCTGTGGAGCAGATCTCGGCACTGCTAACGTGAGCTAACGGTTGCGATTGGATTGTTTTTGTTAGCTGTCGTGTACACATGGCAGCTTAATTCAGTCTTGCTGGTTAGTGTGTGTGTTTCACTGGGCTTCATTACACCTTGTTGACTGGGAACGTGAAGGGAGGGGTGATGTGGCCGACGATGCTGGTGGAGTAGTGCGACATCTAGTGGTATTGCCGATCGTTTACAGAACCTTTACGGTTAGGGAAAGACTGTGGTCTGGTTAAATACAGAATAAGTTCTGAGTGAGTGACTTCAGAGAGGACATGTATATTTACATTAAACAAAACCATGATCATTCTCTAACCTTAACCAGAGTGCTTTTGTTGCGTAAGCTGAACCACAGACAGGACTCTGGATATGAACCCAGGCCTCTGTTTGTGCTTTGTATGCCCACTATCCACCCCACTGTCTCATGACAATTTTGCTGATTAGATAAATGAAGTGCTTCATTCATTCAAAAATATCTCTGAATACAGCCAGTGAGAATGTTTCCTACAAAATATATTTTCTGTTGCTATTTAGTGGTAGGGAAACAATTATACTTGTGTAACTTCTATACAAAAGTTGTTTGAACACATATCTTGGACTCAGTTATGATGTTCATTTTTCATTATTCTCTGATATTTGACAGACCCAACAACTCATCAATTAATAAAAATGGAAAATCAGCAACAACACAGAGCTGTTGTATTGAATTGCAATGGTTTCTACCTAATGAGGTGGCCACTGAGTGCATTTCGACTCGAAAAGATGTCAACACTCCAGGAGCAGAGATCTGCATCACATGCATATTCAAATCACCTACTGTTTCACAGCCTGTGGACAAATTCAACGTTTTTTGTTCATATACAGAGCTAAATGCAATGCACACAAACTGTATCTGGGCAAATACAGAGACAGGCATGCATCCATCCATGTATGTTTATCTGTGTATATCAAATCATTGTACTTTAAGTGACTCTTCAGCTGTCAGATGTGCTGGGATTTGATCACTGAACTATGACTAGGATGCACACTTTTAATTTTTCTGACTATGGAAATCTGATATAATTTAAAATGTGAGTCTTGCAGATAAAACGCGAGACTCTTAGAGGCTGTAATAGGAGTTGAGTGTGGAGCTGCTCTTCAGGTGCAAGGGACTGCACTGTAACTGGAGTGAATAACGTTTCTCATGATCGAATAATTAAATTGTATTGAAGAAAAAATACCAGTAATAATGTTAAATATTTATTAAAAAATGAAAAACATCTATAGATGTTTAAACCTAAACCTGATAACCTAGACCTGCTTTATGATTGGAGTTATAGAACTTGAAAGATGGGGGTATTTTAAAGGCATTATGGGAATTGTTGAGGCCAACTCAGCCTCTGCTGCTTTGATTTTGACCTTTTTTAAAACCTGTGTCTGACCTATGACGATATTCCCAAAGATCCAGACATTGTCCGTCTTTGTCTAATTCCAGACATCTTTGAAGGCTACAGTAAGTCTATAGAGTGTATCAAAACTTTGTGTTTGAAACCTGACCCTCCACCATAAAATACTTGGATTCAAAAAGTATGGGATCTTTATGAGATGAAGATGAGGGTCAACACCTAACTGTAACTGGATAAATGTCAAGACGGCTGGAAACTGAAATAAAATATAAGATGGAAAAAGATATGTCTTTTGAGGGTCTGCTGGAGCACAGGTGTGCTAATTGGGCAGCTGACACCAATGCTTTTAGTGTTTGCCCTTCAGCTGGTTCCCTTTGTCCTTTGGTCCTGAGTGATTTGAATGGATCACCAGTCAACTATGACCAGTCAATAACCACTCAGCTGTATCCTCTTATACCTGAATACAAGCAAGAGATTAAATACTGAATTGGAACCTGCTGACTGCTTCTCCTGCTTTGCTCATATTAATTAAGTTAAGTCCAGTGTAATCCTGGAAGAGTAGGGAGACCCTTGACTTTATGTAGGTGACATACTAAATCACTGCAGTGTCCCGTTAGTCAAATACTGCACTTTCATGATCTAAAAACTGAATTTTGCTCAAATACCGTATTCAGAGTAAAATAAATTTACACAACTGAATGTTCTACATATAGTACATCCATATGTTTGTTTAAAATAGATTCCATGAAGATTTGTGGGGTTGTCATGTTAAAAGAAAAACAAATGCACCTCCTTAAGGAGGTCATTAGATTGGTTCTGCTTTGTAACCTCCCCGCTCCTTTACAGCCAGTGGATGTCAGGCACAGCAGGATTCAGAGACTTTGATGTGTTGTTAAAATAACTTCGCCAAGGGCCGTCAGCAAGTGATCATTTATCCCACTTTAAGTGGATCGTGAGTCACAGTTTTTCACGGTGCAGTGCACCATTACCTGGAAAGGTACCCCACTGTAATATGGAATAAACTGTCATTTGTAGTTTGTAGAAGGAGAAAATTAGTTCTGCTGCTTACCTGACTTGTAAAATCTTTGGCTCTAAGCAAAGATTTTTCCTTTCCTTTGCCTCTGAGCATAAATTGCTTTGTGATGTTTGATAAGTCTTAACACAGTCTGGTTCGTATATCACCTGCTCACTGGTACCTGCAACAATACAGCCACACGGCCGCCCTCGCATACAATATGTTCTCTGGAGCTGCCTACAGCAGTGTCTGACTGCAGTTTGTGCAGAGCATCTCCATTGTCATTTGCTTGAGCTTGGTTTTTGTTGACTCTGGTGGAAAAAATATTCATATGCATATTTATGAAAATGGAAAAAAAAATCTGTTTGCGCGTCTTTCAAAACAACGCATTCTGTGGAGCAGCTGATGCTCTGTGTCGTACTGACCGCTTTGGCTGACTCAGCGCAACGGTACACATTTATTGGAGTCTGACAATATACCTACCATGCTAGCATCGATGATCTGTCCTTTCCCTGACTTTGTCCTCTCCAGCAGTGCGAGGACTATCCCCAGGGCACAAGTCAGACCGCCTCCCGCAAAGTCTGCTAACAGATTCAGTGGAGCATAGGGCTTCTCTCCACTGCGACCCAGCCGGGATAAAAGGCCTGTGAGAGAAATGACGAGACAAAAGCTTCACAAAAAATGTAATGACAGCCTCACTGGTGGGAGAATAATGGAGTTCTGAATGGGAAGGAAAATTAATTAGTTCAGTCACTGAATGATTAAGGGAGCAATACCACCTGATGAAACATCAAAAAGTAAAGGTTATCAGTCCATGCAAACAGGAATGCTATCAACTGTACACAATTACAACTCTGATAACACACAAGTGCATATAATACCTTCAAGGATTCATTTTTATTTTGTCTGATTGAAAATTGCTTACTCAGTTAAACCACCATGCAGCGTTTGTACAAGGCTTCTTGTTCTTTCGTTGTTCTTTTATCATACAGATATTACAAAGATCCTTGTACCAGAAAAGTACTGGTTTCTGTCTGATTGTAACTTTCTCAGATGTTATAATCCTATTTTGTCTTTTCTCTTCTTTAGAGATGTTGTTTTCTTTGGTCTGTAAGTGCTGTCTAATCTGGGAAAAACAACCCTACACGAAACACTGTGACATGTTTATTGTTACAGTAGGGACGCTGCTCTGAATATTAATTTTGTTTATTCACATAGCTGTTCTTAAAATGTCACAAGTTTGTTATTCGTGTATTAGTAGTCCCAGGGTCACTTTTTTTTTACAGCGAGTCTCTAGATTTCTGGTCCCTGCTGAATGGCACCCATGGCTTTGTTCATTCTATATTCTGCAAAACACAGACTGGGCAGGGCTACCAAACAACCATGCAAACAAATGAAAAAAAAACACGTTTCACGTTTCATTTACGTACAGGGCAAAAATAAAGGTTTAAAACAAAGCACAACACACTACTCCCTCGAAAAGCTGTAAATCTTGTCATTATGACGGCTGTACTAGAAAAAGGAGCCGACAGGTTTACATAACAGCTTACATTAGTTAAACTAAACAAGAGTGTTGGGAATGCATTTCTCGTTTTGGGGTGTGAAATTACCAGATGGGTGTGATACCTTTAGCACACTCTGGTGGTTTCTAAAGGGTGGTACATATACGCATCAGACCTCGTTTTGTGTTATCAGAGTATATTATAAGTAGGGCTGAGCTTTAAAGCTAACCACGATCAGTTGTTGAATCCTAACGTAACATGCTGTTTGGCCTCGTGTCTAAATTGCTGGTGTCAAGTCAGGGTGCATTTTTGCATCGGCCAGCTCCCTACTTTTATTCTTTTCTACTTCTTTATATCCTTCAAATCACATCTGTGCGGACTAATGAGCAGAGTGTGTGTAAGTGAAGCATTTAAAAATTTGCCTTTCAGAGAATTAAAGTGAAAATAGTAATACTATTTCATTCCCCAATGTTATTAGTCAGAAGACATGAGTGGTTAGATTTATAATGGGCTAATTCTTATGGCCAATTAATAAAACAGACCATCACAGAAAAGTCTCTGAAAAACCTGTAATTTTGTACTTTATGACCTTACGTTAAATGATTACACTTCGGAACATTGTCATTTGGTTTGTTTTTAAGTTAAAACACTGAAACTAAGTGAGAGAATTGGAAATGCGTAGCTTTGGAGGTGAAATGATTTTCAGTTCATTTTCATTAAGTGCACCCACTTCATATTCCAAACAGAAGAATAGAATAGAAAGCCAGAAGGTTGTTGTAGGTTGTTTTCGTGTAGCACTCTCAGAAAGTGTTGGGCCTTTTTTTGTTTGTTTTTTTTACCACCGCTGAGGTGTTTGCAGACCAGGAAAGATCCTCTGCAATGTGGGTTCCCAGGAATTTAAAGGTGGGAAGCATTTCCATTCAGTCCCCATTGATGTAGAGTGGGGCAGAGTCCGCTCTGTCCCTCCTGTAGTTGATGACCATTTCTTTGGTGTTGCTGGTGTTGAGTGCCAGGTTGTTCGTAGAACACCACTTTTGACAGCTTCTGGACCTCGTCTCTGTACGCTGACTCGTCACCTCCGGTTATAAGTCTAACCGCGGTGTTGTTGTCGTGGACAAGCCCTGTGGAGAGCCAGTGTTGAGTGTGAGGGTGGAGGAGCAGTGGGGGCCGATTTTAACAGATTGTAGGCGGTTTGTGAGGAAGTCCTTTTATTCAAGTGCAGATGAGAGGGGGAGGTCTAAGTCAGACAGCTTGTCAACTAGTATATCTGGGATGATGGTATTGAAGGCCAAGCTGTAATCAATAAAAAGCATCCTTACATGGTCCCCGGATGTTCCAGCTGGCTCAGAGCAGTGTGGAGGGCTGTAGTGATGCTATCCTCCATGGATCTGTTTGCTTTATAAGCAAACTGGTGAGGGTCGAAGTTTCCTATATGGTTGGGATACCTGCATCACCCCCCTGTGGTATCTGTGGTCTGTACATATCAGACCTTGCTTTAAGAGTTGGAAGTCATGTCTGAGTAAGCAAAAATTGGTGTTGAGCTTTTGTATCTGATTTTCCTGCTGTGGATCTCGGATGGATTCACATAGCCAGTTCCATTTTCGACCTGTTAAAGATACCTTGATTTTCTTATCAAACAGACGGACATCACCCTCAGCAGACTGGATCAGCTGCAGCTAATCAATTTCAAAACAACTACAATGCTCTCTTGAAGCTAGTGTCTGTATTCAGCGAAACATTATTTGTGGGCGAACAGACGCATCATTCTGTAACAAACGGACACCTGCGTCTGATAGTTTGTTTGAAAAGAAATTTGAACCCAATAAATTTTGAGGCAGATCTGGTTAAAGAGTTTGTCACTTAACATTGCAAGCATTAGGGAATTTTGCAACATTTTTGCCAATTTCTCAAAAAATAATGTAAGGATCTTGATGTAAAAAATCTACTACTACTTCCTTTTTTCTATATATCTTTTTCTAAGAGTCGGACAGACAAGTAAGATTGTTTGGCCTTGGTGGGGATATGCACTCTGCTGAAATGTTGTTGACATTGTGCAGCAGTTAAGTCTTTTATTTCATGTTTCCAAGGTCATGAGGAAGTAGATGGACTTGGTTCAAAACAAAATGTTAACAGAGAAAAAACAGTGAATTATCCATTTCTATCATCTCTATAGATATTTGATCCTGTTCCATCAGACTGCAATCTCCCAAATATATTAACAGTGTGTTACTACCTGACATGGCGAGGTAGTTGATGTCATGCCCAGCTGCAGTGGCATAAGATCCAACTTGTCCATACCCTGTCAACCGAGCGTAGATCAGACGAGGATTTTCCTTTAACAGCTCCTGTGGGCCGAGGCCCAGTTTCTCCATCACTCCTAAATGATTAGAGATAAGTTGATAATATAATGTCATCAAAAACATTTTTTAATCAGTATCTGTTTAAGTTGATTCTCAGTCAGTGTGAACCAGATAGCGACAGCCTCACTTTAGCACTTTTGATCTTGGAATTACATGTTTGTTTTTTTCCCTCTCAAGTCTGTGAAAGATTACTTCTTTGAACATCACATCACAACACTTGTTTGTATGAAAAGATCTTTTGGTATTAGTACTATAAGACTTTATTAAAAAACTGATATATTTCACTGTTTACATGAACTTCTATATTTCAATATTAAAGAGAAATTAAAAGAATTTTACTTACTCTTAATTTAGTAAGATCCAACTAAAATGGTTATTGTTCAACAAAAATTCTGACTAGTGGTGGAAAGGAACTCAGTACATTCTCAAATACTGTATTTAAATTTACAATTTTGAGTTACTAATACTTTCATTTTATGCTACTTTATACATACTCCACAACAATTCAGAGGGAAATAATGTACTTTCTACTACAATACATTTATAGCTTTAGGGAGCAACTTGAGACCCAAATAGATAAAATGATTCAATATTTCACAAAATAAGCAACAATTAAAGAAACTTAAAAATAAATAATTAAAATAAATAATTATAGCTATAATTTTGTCTTCTTTCCTGCCCTATTTATTACTGTACCTTACAAACCCCTCAGATTTTATTTGTGATCTCTGAAGGGGGCATGACCTCTAGGTTGGGAACCACTGGATTAAACTGACTAACTGTATATAAAGTAGTTAAAAGTAGCTCCACCTTGAGCAGCTACAACAGTAAAATGCTACTTTTAATAACATCACTCACATTGGTAAATTTTCTGCAGAATGAGTATGACTTTTGACACTTTAAGTACATTTTGCTGTTAACACTTAACATACTTTCATCTGAAAAGGACTTTGAATGCAGGACTTTGTACTTGCAATGGAGTATGCTTTTGGCTCACACAGCATCAGTGGTCTGACCTTTACGATAGGGCTCAAGCACGACATCAGACTGGACACAGAGCTTCCTGAGCAAGGCTACACCCTCAGTGGTCTTCAGATTGATGGCCACAGATTGTTTTCCCCGCGCTTGTGTATCCATAGCCATGGCTACCTTGGTCCGGTCCACGCGGATCACCTTGGCTCCAAAGTCTGCCAGGATCATGCCACAGAACGGTGCAGGAGCCAGGCCCGCCAGCTCAATAACTCTCACTCCGGCCAGTGCCATGATGAAAGGACTGTAAATTGGAATATTAAAAACACCTGTCAGTATAATGTAACACAATGCAACACCAATAGCAACACCACCAATAGGGTGAAGGGGGGCTCACATCAGATTCTGTGACGTTATCAGGAATTTCACTAACTACTGTTACTGATGTCAGGTAGAAATTTTTTTTTTTTTTTTTTT